GACGACTGGGCCATCTGTGCCCCCGCTCAAGAAAAGCCCATCTGTCAGTATTTTGCCTGGCCAATGTAGTTACGATAAAGGGAGACAATTAGCGGGGAGGTAACCCTTGCATGACAGTATTTCCGTCAAAGTGTTATGTTCACTGCCCTGAATATATATCACTTTTCTGAACTATTAATCTGGTTTAGGGCTAATTAACAGACACGACTGTGTTTGCTAGTTACGAAAAATAGCATGCATGTATGTTTCTTTGGCAAGGCGGAAAACCTCATGTTATTATAGATTCAGATTTGTTATATATTTCCAAGCATCTTCATTTCGCAGGTAAATGTAAAGTTAACTGTATTTCCCCGAGATTCAGTATTCATATTATTGAGACAATGTACATTTAATCTACTGTGTACACTCTGTATAACACTGTGCTGTTCAACTCACTGTTCCTATTTCTGTTACTTCCCTATAACAAAACTGTTCTTCTTATTCCTATATAATTTATAAAAAAAACCATGTTATCAGTGCCCAGAATAAAACTGTCTGAGTGAATTAACGTGTTTAGAACGTTGATTGGTTAGTCAGCTAGTGCCGAACGAGGGACAGATTGTGCACAATCAACCATGTTCAGAGCGGCACTGTCGCCACAGTGTGTTTCGGTACGAATTGTCCGTTTGTCTATCAGCTAGCATAGTTTTTCTCCGTAAGTAGACCATTTGGACGGAGAATAACACAACGCGACGACACCCTCTGAATCATGACACAAGGACTGGGCGGCTCCAAATCAGAGTTTAATGTCTCTGAGTGGGACATCTATATGTAAAACTGCGGCGTGGTATCTCAGTGGGCTAGCTCTATAACATAGGGATTTAAAAGTCCCAACTAGTACAAGAAGTGCATGCATGTCGCTAAATAAAGGTCTCGAACGCAAGGCAGGGTAACAAGTACCATTTTAGTTTTGGTATGACGCGGCCTGGAGCTCGATCTACTATACCACGGAGGCGGTCCACTCTTATGATATAGTCGAAATTGTACAATTGACTCTGCTTTTAGCAGAGATTTCTTTTGATTCAGGTAACAGTGTCAATATCATGTCACAGTGCCGATATCATGCCGCAGTGCCGATATCATGTCACAATGCCGATATCATGCTACAGTCTCGATATCATGTCACAGTCTCGATATCATGCCCCAGTGCCGATATCATGTTACAGTGTCGATATCATGTCACAGTGCCGATATCATGTTACAGTGTCGATATCATGCCCCAGTGCCGATATCATGTTACAGTGTCGATATCATGCCCCAGTGCCGATATCATGTTACAGTGTCGATATCATGCCCCAGTGCCGATATCATGTTACAGTGTCGATATCATGTCACAGTGCCGATATCATGCCGCAGTGCCGATATCATGTCACAGTGCCGATATCATGTGACGGTGTCGATATCATGTTACAGTGTCGATATCATGCCACAGTGCCGATATCATGTGACGATGTCGATATCATGTCACAGTGCCGATATCATGTTACAGTTTCGATATCATGCCACAGTGTCGATATCAAGCAATGGTGTCGATATCATGTTACAGTGTCGATATCATGTGACGGTGTCGATATCATGCCACAGTGCCGATATCATGTGACGGTGTCGATATCATGTGACGCTGTCGATATCATGCCACAATGCCGATATCATGTGACGGTGTCGATATCATGCAACAGTGTCGATATCATGTGACGGTGTCGATATCATGCCACGGTGTCGATATCATGTGACGGTGTAGATATCATGTCACAGTGCCCATATCATGTGACGGTGTCGATATCATGTGACGGTGTCGATATCATGCCACCGTGACAATATCATGTGACGGTGTCGATATCATTTTACAGTGTCGATATCATGTTACAGTGATGATATCACGTTACAATGCCGATATCATGTGACGGTGTCGATATCATGTAACAGTGTCAATATCATGTGACGGTGTCGATATCATGTCATAGTGTCGATATCATGACTAAAAGGTAAGAAAACGCACTTTTTCCTTTACTTTATTTGAATGCTGAATGGTGAAAGGTAATGCCTATGTAGGATTTAACTTTTTATGTTGAAATATGAAGATTTTTTGAGAGCTGAAAAAAGATTGTATCCAATGAACGTCGCTGATCAAACGATATATACTATCATGACATTACAAACTGTGATTCCATAACATCTTCAACAAACATTTAATATAGATAACTGATGTAAAAAAAGCAAACGTTCCTGAAGTCGGTGGAATTTGAAGCCTTCTTACGAATCAATCGAGTCGAGAGGAATGTGCTTACTGTAGCGTGTGATCGTTAATAGAAAAAGCAATTTACCATATACCCAAAGGGGTTTGATATGATGTTTGGTTCACATTGATAAAAACAAATTCTTTACTATGGGAAAAGCTTTTTCATGTTTGAGAGATAAGCTCTACAATAAAATAGAATCTACTGCTTCTTAATCGAATTAAAAGTTGTCTGAACCAGAGTTCAATGGTAAAACAAGGGGCACAGCTGCGATATTAATTCTATACCTAACCGCATGCACATATGGTAAGCCTCCGATTTGTCCGTACGAAATCTATTCCGTATATACTGGCGTCCTCATTAAAGTTCAGTTACAGATGGATAGTGAGACGACCTTCGTCCGATATACTGTTTTTGATGACGTTTATATTTCAAGCTGGACATATATAAACTGCTGAGGGAGGGAGAGAGAGAGAGAGAGAGGGAGAGAGAGAGAGAGAGAGAGAGAGAGAGAGAGAGGGAGAGAGAGAGAGAGGTGAAATGGGGTTTAACGTCGCGTCCAAGATTATTGGACTTATACAGCGAAGCGCATCCAAGCGTGTGTGTAGCTGCTTATATACTAGTCCAGACTAATACCTATTTTATAGTGCTAGCCCACAGAGATATCATGCCGCAGTTTAACACGAATACCCCGCTTAGACACAGTACAATAACTCCGAGCCGACCAGTCCGTGTTTTAGCCCCTCAGTGCGGAGCGCCAGGTAGGGTAACAACAAGTACCATCTTTTAACGTCTTCAATATAAGATACACGAAGACCTTATCACGCAGCTGGGAGGATAAGCTAACCAAGGTATAGGTCAGACATCACGCAAAGAAATATCTAAAACATCAAGTCAGTGGCGGTTTATAAGTTTGCCCTTAGTAGGGGGATAAGTCCTATTTTACAAAGTAATTTAGATATAAAGCTGAGGGTATCTTATATCAAATTGATCAGATGAATCAGCGTTGATGTTTCAACACTCCTCTCTCTATTAGTAACTGTGAATAACGATAGGTTTATATAATCAATAGTCACTTTTGCCTTTGTGATGGTAATACACCAGCAAGTGTTAATTCATCTGTGTATCCTTCCGGCTGCCAGAGAGCTGAGTGTTTGCATTGACGTGTGCCGATGCCGTTCTGATGCCTCTCACAGCATTACCCTCACTCTCTCTTTCTCTCAGTGAAAGCATCTGAGGTTAGGTGCCAGACCTTCGCTCCTATCACTGCGTTAGTCACAGGCTAAGGATGAGTATAAGCGTTAACCTAATGGCTTGCAGACTTAGGAATACATAGTTGTGTGTGTCGGCTGTGATGTGAAAGTATAGTGAATAAAAGCGACAAAACCCGTTCCATATTCTTAAGGAATATGAGTCCAGTGTCCAGTTCCGACCATGTCAATGCGTGAAATTGCTATCTAAATTAATCTATAATATTTTGTTGTCAGACATGTATCGGGAACTATGAGTTTCTAATACTCAAAGTTGTCATGTTACACTGCCAAGACCTGTCGGTATTGAAAAATCTCACATCAAGTGCAACAGGCAGATACGGTCGCATTGAGACATCACATATCGATCATTTCGTAATTTCGCGCTAATCGATTCGGACATGTGCTTAGTTTGTCTAAACAGTACACTTAATTCCTGCTCTAGAATTAAGCTGCGTGAATGAATGAGTTTTGAACAGAATTTCAGTCATATCTCGGAGTGTGAGCTTGATGTTGGAGGAAAGCCGTTTTTGCTAAACCGCGAGTACAAGTATGGTGCTGACAAACATATAGACCTGAACCTGGATCCGACCCCACTGTTCCAGATAGCTCATAATAGATAAACCCAGGTGGCCATTATTTTGTGTTTCTTATAGATGGCAGTCATTCAAATTATTTGTTGAATTTTTTTTGTCTCATTTCCTTTGAATTTTAAATTTGGTGTTGGCAGTTCCTGCAGTAAGACAGAAACATGTTAATATCAAGTTTGGTAGAAACAGAGGGTAATCGCAGATATTTCTTTTAATTTAGATTCCAGTTTAGCTGACATGAAATCTCCAGATTAATTTGTTGCAAGTTTTCTGTTGCTTATTCTCAAGACTTGCAATTTCCTAATCAGGATCAATAATTAATCTGACCATTTTCATTATTATTCTGATTATTTGGACAGTATGAACGAGAGTGAGTGATACTACAGTCAACAATGCATCACGGTGGCCTGTAAATAATCGAGTCAGGAACCAGACAAACCATTGATTGTGAGAACGACACTCGACCAACGCCATCGGGGTGCCATAACACACACTCAAGCAGGTCACCGAACCTGACCACTCGATCCTCTTTATTCCACTCTTAGACAAGCGGGTTGAACTGATCATTCTTCCCCGGATGGTAATAGGGATATGAACGATCGGTTTCGTATGACAATTCACGTTGCTTAAGCCCACATTGAACAACCACCGTTTGACAAATTATGTACATGTATTCCAACTTCATGCAAAGCAGGGGCGGTCGGGTAGCCTAGTGGTTAAAGCGTTCGCTCGTCACGCCGAAGACCCGGGTTCGATTCCCGACATGGGTACAATGTGTGAAACCCATTTCTGGTGTCCCCCGCCGTGATATTGCTGGAATATTGCTAAAAGCGGCGTAAAACCAATCTCACTCACTCACTCATGCAAAGCGGTATACAACCTACCTAGTAAGTCCGCTATTGCGAGGTTGAGCAGAAAGTTGTTGGTGACACTTTGCAGTTGTCGATTCGGAGCAATCACGAGAAGCACCAGGATGTTTCCCACAAGGGAAACAAGAAACACAGGCACGTAAAAGGTTAAAAGGATTATAGTTGTCGTATTGTGCACAGTAAAAAGACTTTCCCTGAAACTTGTTATCACATCATAAAAACTATTTTCCTCTTGCCATTGGTTTGCTAGGGAATCGTTAGTCCAGAAGGGGAACCTGTGACTCACATTAGCCATGGCTATCACGTAGAATCAGCGTTAATCCTTAAATCCCGAATCATCTTGAAGAAACAAGTAGAAAACTCCTTCTCACTCCTCCGGAATCCCTAACACCGTAGTATATGATGGTGAGCATCAGCTGTGATGCCCAGTGTTTACTTATGGTAAAATATCACTCTCTCCGAGGGGTGTCGGAATCACTTCTGGGGAACCCTTCCTAATTATGCCTCGCTCCTTAGAAACATACATCAATAAAAACTTCGAATCATTCCCACGCTCGACATTTTGAAACTTCAGAGCTATAAGAAGCTGTAGGGAGAAAATGCGATATGAGCAACTATTGGTTGGACTCCCGATGAGAATCACACATACGTCCTAATGAGAGTGTGGGGTATAGCACGCCCTCTACTGTGGTCCCTGTACGCGCAGGTCCTCCTGATTGACGGACGGTCCAGCCACTGGTGATCAATAAGTCAGTGTCCTCTCCGCTCTCACTATTTCCTCGTTAGTACTGTCAAGATGGGTATATCGACCAATCTCACGACCATTTGGTACCGACCATACGCTGCCGCGGCAGTCAGCTCTCGTAGGCTGTTGTCACCAAATTGCTTCCTTTCTATGTAACACTCCAGCTCGCGTGTGCTGCAGATTGACATTGTGTTCATCGCAACCTGGGGAAACTTTTCATTAACACCATTCACCGTGTATGTGGAGCCGTTGCTTCCTGGGAGGATATGCCAAATCGTAGCCTAGTCTTGCGTGACTTCGTGTAAACTGGACAGAGGGTAAATCTTGGCACGGCTTAATAATCAACAGTTCGCATGTTTTATTCATACAAGCAGATTTATCAAAAGTATCTATTTCAGTTTTATTGCCCGATATGGCATTGACACTATAAATATTCACACATGGATTTACTGGGAGTGTTGGCATTTAGAACAGAAGGAATTATCTCCTTATGTTTCACAATTTTCTAAGTGAAAATAATTCAATAAAATCGGTATTGCTATTGTTAAGTATGCACAGCCGTGTACTGTATTTGAAATGTAACCCAGTTATCTCACCGCATCTACGTAAATATAAAGGTGGAATTAGACAACAGTGTATTTAATAATACTTTCCAAATATGTGGGACGATCGATTCAAGCTCTTTACATCTTTTCTAACAAATCCAAACAGGACAAAAGTGTTGCAGAATTGGCCTATAACGACGATCGCACAGTAGGCACAATTCCCATTTGGTAGAATTGTACTGATCAAGATCCGATTAGTTACAGTACGTCCTAATTATATATAATTCCCTATATCGTGGAGGAAGGGATCAACAGAGATCATGTCAGTTCACATTATCTCGTGTCAACGCGCCTCTCGTAAACGTCAGGTCTTTGGGGCTTAAACGGCCACCACACAGGTTTCCGAGTCAGTTGGACGTAATAATATTTATATAATGACATAGTTGGAAATATAACGAGCTCTGGTTATGAGAGAATCAAATTTCACGAAATTCGTTGCTGGGTGGAAGCCCTTTGATAATGACTGGCGATAAAGTTAACCATCAAGCGCTCATTCCAAACGCTGCTTGTCCATCAACTTACATGTCGTGCCATTGTTTTAAGCGTCCCAGGTCACGTGAGTCCGGATTCAATGTCGGTTTGTTCTTTAACGCAACCCATGCCTGCAATAAAAGGCGACTATGCTTGTCGTAATATGCGACTAACGAGATTGGGTGGTCAGGCTCGCTGACTTGGTTTGATGCATGTCATCGTATCCCAATTGCATGTATCGATGCTCATGGTGTAAATCACTGGATTGTCTGGTCTGGTCCAGACACGATTATTTACCGACCGCCACATTTATAAGATGTGCAGTTCATTGACACTGCTATATGTTATGTGTTTAAATGCTATGTACACAGCTCATGTAGAGAAGGACAATAGAACGTATTACACGCGAGGCTCACTGGTATATGTGATTTGTGTGAACATATGTTACGTCTGCAGATACATAACATCACCTGTACAATTTGATGCTGGTTTTTAGTTCCTTCCAAAAGGTGGTGATAATAATGAAAATACTGTTAATGAGAGCACATGTCTATTTTAATCTAGTTTCATATCTCGGATTATCGTTATCTTTGACTCGATGGATCGGGTGGTAAGGATCGGTAGCTTGGTTGCAGGGTTGATATTGTATCCGGACGGCGTGGACCGTTGTTCATAATATCAATCACTGCATTGTCGATTTTAATTTATTCGTGAAGACGCCGGGGTTGAATAGGTCTTCAGCAACCCATGCTTGCCGTAAAAGGTGACTATGCTTGTCATAAGAGGCGACCAACGGGATCGGGTGGTCAGGCTCGCTGACTTGGTTGATGCATGTCATCGATCCAAATTGCGTGGATCGATGCTCATGATATTAATCACTGGATTGTCTGGTCCAGACTCGATTATTTACAGTCCGCCGTCATATAGCTGGAATATTGCTGAGTGCGGCGTTAAACAACAAACAAACATAATCTATTCGTATGGTTATATGGAGGTTTGCAATCTGACAGTTGTAGTAATGGCCTGTGGCAGCAAATAATTGAAGTGCTAGTAAAATGTCGAGTGTTGTATTTTCAGGTTTCACAGGCTCTTGGCGACAGTGCGTTATTGGCGTTATTCGCCCTTGATTGTTTACAAACAAGACAGACATCATCATTCCAGATGTTTCGGGATGGTACAGTTTCTAGGAGGCTGCGTGTACCTTTATAAGAGCTACAAGAGGGCGATTCGGAGCCGTTTTCGAAGCCGACTTCCTGCCTGCTTCCAACACTGTTCTGGATTCAAGAACGGACCAAATTCGTAGGTACATTCAGTGCTTATATGTTTATGGCCTGTTTATGGCCTGTTATTTATTGCTGTCGCTACTTATTTGAACGAATTTGCTACGGATGAAGGAGCCCGAAAAAGGTCGTCGAAAATATTTGTTTTCAGAAAACAGAAAGTAGCATGTTTGTCGTTTCCGTCTCGAATAATCACTGTGCTTCATTTTTAATTCAACGCTAATTGATCCATTTATCTGGCTACAAATTCATGAATATCCAGTTATATTTACAACCATTGCAAGAGGACAACAATGTTAAACTATTTGAATCAATTGGTCCATGGCGTTTTGACAAATGTTTATTTACACCGACTACATGAGTGTACAACGGAAATGCATATACACGCCACGCGAGTACATCAAACTGTAGTATAACCCTTCAACGTATATAAAACTTGACCTCTCTCTAATGCCACCCATGCACTCCAAACAGGGGCTGATCTCAGAGGTTGAAGTCATTAACGGCATCCGTCATTACGACACCCCTTCGTAATTCCAAAAGCTTTTCACTCAATAATTGGGAGATGTGTGTTTTCATACTTTAGGGTGTTACTGGGTATTCGATGTTAGGTTACCCTGAAGCAACCCTCGCGCATTAAGCCGGAGGTGTCAGATGTATAAGCATTCCAAAGGACGTCATGGTTACCACATTGTTATCTGTAATATCCCGTAGCACTCTCTTTCTACATGTTTTCGAAAACTGTGAGACATAAAATGCAGTAATGTCGACACATTTACCCATGTAGTATCATTGCCAAACCGGGGCACGGGTGGCCCAGTCGTCTAACGCACCGCGGTTCGCTGTACAGAGTTGCGTCCCGTGGGCACGCCAGAAACCTATGATTGTGGGTTCGAAATCCGGTTCGCCCCGATTATGTTTCTAGGTTTGTCAGCACCATTCCCGTGCTAGTGGTTTTCACCGAAGTGGTAAACGTCGGAGACCTGCATCACGTCGGGCTCCCCTCCCACATTAAGCTGACACGCCGTGATATAGCTGTAATACTGTTAAAAGCGGCGTTAAACCCAACTCACTCACTCACCACTCATTGCAACCAATAAGGTTGCACGATACACTCTCATTTGTGGTACAAGTCGTCATTAACACAATCTGCATGTTTGGGCGGTTAGAGGTCCGTTTCCTTGACGGCTGTAGGCCAGGGTGTTGATGACAATCATTCTGCCTTATACCACGCTTCACATCAGTAGCCAGAATATGGAGATGAAAACGTCTTTCACGTCAACGAGTGAATGTATGTAAGTCAACATGATGGACAGTTATGACTGTCGCTGCTTCAGCAATCATGGCCAAACAGCTCTAAAAGCGTTAATAAGCGACCATCCAATTTACTTTCTCGATGCTTGGAGATCCGAATGTCTGGGAAAAAAACGTGTCGCTGGTCCCAAACAAATTGTTTTTTAGAAAAACAAATTGAATGTCTTGAAGATTTGCTAGGAAATTATTATCCTGTCTGTCTCTGACAAAAAAAGCCTTGCCCCACATTCCGATGATTGTTCCTGTTGAGTTTCCAGGGAAGAATCGTAAGCAACCAATGGTTGTCTTAATGAGGAATTCTGGAACAGAATAGCCAGGGTCCCAATTACCAAAATGAATGATTGTCATAATATGGAATTTTGGCACAGAATAGGACCCAATGACCAATGAATGTCTTAAATGGGAACTCTGGAGCAGAATATGTCCCCAAAACCCAATGATTGTCTTTATGTAGTTAGTCATGAGAAGACGAGGCCAGTACCCAATGCCGTACAACATTAGGATGTTTGTATTACCTGGCTGATTGTTTGTCTCAGTTCCCCACGGTGTCGATCGTTGCTCAGGTTATCAATCACCGGTTTCCCTGTCAGGAAATCGAGTCGTAACAGACCACTGTGATATGGGGAAAATTGCGGCATTAGCCATCTGTGAAACTGTCCACAAGCACGCGGTAGTTAACCGGCTATGTGATGTTGATGAGCAAGACCAGAGAGCACCACACTGAGTAGATGCAGGCTTGGAGTTAATACTACACACAAGCTAAACGCAACCACGAAACTGTGTTGCAGTGCATAGGCAATTGAAGTTGGCCCCCGCCTCAAGGCCACTGCCGGAAACCTGACTATAAATACAACAAGGCGGATTTGTACATGTGGTGCACAGCTTAAGAGTTCCACATTACGTGTACCTAACAGTAGCGTGCTCATGAAATAACGAGATCGAATATTGGATGAGTGAGTGAGTGAGTTGGGTTTAACGCCGTTTTTAACAGTATTCCAGTTATATCACGACGTGTCAGCTTAATGTGGGAGGAAAGCCCGAAGTGATGCAGGTCTCAGACGTTTACCAGTTCGGTGAAACCCACGAGCACGGGTATGGTGCTGACAAAGCTAGAAACATAACCGGGGCGAACCGTGATTCGAACCCACAATCATAGGTTTCTGGCGAGCCAAAGGGACGCAACTCTGCACAGCGAATCGCGGCGCCTTAGACGACTGGGCCCACCCGTGCCCCGCAGAAATACAATATGTTGAAGGGTAGGTTTGGAAGCATTCAATGCTGCGATGTTTAATTGTGGTCGAAATATAGATCCCCCATTTCGAATTTAGATGCCCTCTTTCCACTTTCGTTCATGATATATATAGAATGCTGAAGGTTTTCATTGATCCATCGCTGAAAGGAGTTGTGGCGACAAAACCTTGGCGCGAGTGATCAATGCCTTAATGTAGTAAGGCTGCCTTGTGTCT